ATGTATGAAATCGTCTTGTGGACCGGAAACGGCTCAAAGCGTAATAAAAAAAAATACTCCCACATCGGTAACGTTCGGCTACCTTTTTGAGCGTTTTGCCACGGATGGCGCTATATCCGATTTCTAACTTTTTCTTTAGTAGTGTCGGTAAAGTTTCGTTACCGATTTCTGCTTTTTGTGATAGATGGCGCCACAGACGATCGCATGAATTTCCAGATCGGTAACATTTGGCTACCAGTTGCACCGATTTTCCACGGATGGCGCCACCGTCGATCCTTGTGGATTTCTAGATCGGTAACATTTGGCTACCAGTTTGGCCGATTTTCCACGGATGGCGCCACCGTCGATCCTTGTGGATTTCTAGATCGGTAACATTTGGCTACCAGTTTGGCCGATTTTCCACGGATGGCGCCACCATTCCCTAAATTTCACTTATATATCAATCACATATAAAATATAAATTTTAACATACCAAACGATTTCGATTTCTTTCTAAACAAGAACAATATCCTCTCCCACTTCTCTTCTACATCTCACACTACTACCAATTTTCAGGAGAACAGGGCGTACCAAGAATCGACACGTTGGTCTATAATTTACTCGTAATTTATTTAAATAATAATACGAAAATACACAATTGCGATTTTATTGAAACGATAATCATGAATTTCTTTATACAACTTTATTGCATGGTTTGCTGGCTACGTCTATATGAATATTGTCTACTGTCGGTAGCGAGTACAACAGCAAGCTGAATATCGGAGCGTTCGTCGTTCCCGCCTGTTAATCATGGAATCGGAATATTCCATCGGCGAGACACGACGAGACGCTCGTCACGATAAACCGTGCACGTTCCCCGGATCTCGTCTCGGAAACTAACAATCTCGTTCCAGAGAACTCTCGGGAGTATCATTTTCAATGATCGGGAACACGCTTTACTCTCTGCGCACCGACGAATCCCCCGCTAAAGGGAGATAAACGATTGAAACCGATCTGCGGACGAAACGTACACGGTATCTTCGTTGGCTTATAAATGCTGGATCGGTTATCGGTTCGCGATCAAGTAGTAGATACGTATATATTATAGTAATGTATATAAAAGCGTACAAAACACGTTTAGTGGGGTCGCAGAAGGATGGGATGGTCGCGATACGAAATACTCGAGACTCGAACGAGTCACAGGCTTATATTTTCCTCTTCTTTTTCTTCTTCCTCTTCTTCGTCTTCTTCTTCTCCTCTTTCTTGCATTCTCTCTCTTTCATTCTATCTTTCTCTCAATCTCTCTCTCGCTCTCTCTCTCACTTTTCGTATACTTAAATAGCTTCTTCGAAGGTCCGTCGTTTCTGTACAGGTCGGGGGTGGACATTGTCGCGCTGTTTCATCGATGAACCCCTTGCGGAGATTGTTGAACGTACAATCCTTTTGCGGATTCTGCTGAATTAACACATTGACTGCCACGTCATCCGAATAATGTGACGCTATTTTTAACGTAATCTTGAACATTTTTTTGGTGACGCATCGAACTAAGTTTCATTGGATGTATGAGTTATAAGGAAGATAGAGCAATCATTACGAAGAATCTTGACTCTTTAGTTTCTGGTTTATTAAGAAAATTGGTTCGATTGGAAGTTTCGATGATTTACTTGGCAGTCAAAGTGTTAAACACTGAATGCTTAATGCATAAATATGGATTCATAATTTTTCTCGTTAGAAACAAATGGAAATATATAATATTTTTCTCATCCAAAAGTTATTCTATGCGTAGTGTCTGTATTAAACCAACAATTACTTATATTCCTTTCGGAAGAATATGATCGCCAGCTGAAGTGCTGGTATGTTCAGTGTTAATGCTGTTCGAATTTCTTGCTGTTCGAATAGTTCAATCATTTGTTCAACTTTTCATCTCAAAAACGCCGACATTCGTCCGCAAAGGGTATAACCATTGCCGTATAATCCTCTTTTCTGAATTCCTCTAGCTTCCACCGGACGCCATTTGCGTTTCCCGTCCATTCTAACCTCAAATCCATGAACTTCCTGATTAACACTAGACTTATGTATTCTATACTTCATTCTATCGTTCCTAGAAGAGTATACTTGTTTATATAGATTGCGAAAATTAGTGTTTCAAGAACGAAGAATTACAATGGGTGTTCGCAAAATTGCATCAATAAAAATCGAGTTGAATATCCCTGAAATTGACGGGTCCCGTAAATCTAGCGTTAATCAGTGTTAATCATTTTGTTCGTTTCAACTCGTGCCAGTCATGCTCGATTCGTTTATTTGTTATTCAACGTATTTTCGAGAGTTTCCGTTACAGGCAGAGATACTTTCAGGAATTCTGACGCGAGTCTTTACACGGCAAGGGGTAACCAGCGATCTCTCGCGATTAGCGGGATCCTAGGAAGAGAACAGCAGACCGAACGATAGGGACCGTGAAAAAGGTTGCGATCTCGAGATTCTTTCCTAGCCGTTCGAGTGCCACGAGCTTTTATCAACTTATATCACTATACATAGAAAAACTCGAATATCATACTGTTGTATAATATATTTTAACCCTTAGCACTCCAGATGGTTTTGTAATTTATCAGCAACTGCAACTAATTTTTATGGTATCTCTATTATATGCATCGTGGAAAATTTAATAATTTTAGAGTAGTTTCTTTGATTCGTTAAAATATTTGATACAACTGGTGCAATATTGGAGCCTACGGAGTTCAAAGGGTTAAATAGATAATTCGAATAAAATTTTATACTTTTCAAATGCTGTGATTAGCGAAGTTAGCTAAGTGTCTTTGTATAAAAACGAGATTTCTCGTTACGACATTAATAAATTTCTCGGTATGACATTAATAAATATCAATATATGAAGAAATCTCATAAACAAATCGCATAAATTTAGTCATAATCACGAAAGAGAATTCGGCCCACAGAGGGTCAAACGAAACACCGAATAACCGCGATCGCGGTGTTCGCCACTCGAACGGCCAGTTTCTCAACAGAGCGTCAAGATTCCGCGCGCATCGTTCGCTTCCGCCGGGACAACTCGTCCCCGAACTGCCTCGACTCTCGACGTCTCGACTACAATTAACTAGTTCGCGGGCTGCGCGTCGTAAACGTTACAGTATCCTTCCTACGTCGGGGGCATCAGTGAGCTTACACCTATAATGGCAATCGACTTCCTCCTCTCTATACAAAATCGACGATGCGGCCGCGATCGTCCCCCCCGTTCGCGAAGAAACAACAAAATCTCTCTAACAATCGCGAACGCGAGGTAGAAACGTGACAAGGGACCATTACTCGACCCTTCGACCAACGGAATCATCCATCAACACGTGATCCTCTCAGCGACGAACAGCTTCCCGCTTCATCCGCGTGAAACCAACCGATTTTCGCATTTAATCAACGCGATCGGTGGATTCTCTACGAAATCGAGCGTCGCTGTGCGTTAACGATTCCGTTTCGACGCAGCGTAGCCGAAAGGTTAATAACGCCGGTTTAATCACTTTGGTATACG